GCAGGGAGCCCGATGTGGGACTCGATCCCGGGACTCCAGGATCATGACCTGAGCCGAAGGCAGTCGCTTAACCAACTGAGCCACCCAGACGCCCTTGTCATTTGATTCTTGACACAGTCAGGAGAGGGAGCCCAGAGGTCAGGTTGGGTGGGTGGCAGCTCCTGGGCAGGGCCAGGCCGGCCCGTAGAGCCTCAGGGATTGCTGGAAGAAGGTCCCTGTCCTGAGAGGAGTGTTGGGCCACACTGGGCTGTCAACCTTAGCCCGGCCTCGGGATCCTGGAGCCGTACACCCCTGGGGCTTCTCTGGGGCTTCTGCGGCGGGACTGAAGCCCACCAGGCTGTTCGGAGCTCTTACCTCAGCCACGTGGCTTCTCTGAGCCTGAGGGTCTTTGTAAAGGGGGACAGAGGTCGCTGCCGCTGCTGCCTCCCAAGGGTCAGGCAGGCGGGAGAGTCAGTGGGGCTCCCGGCTGGATGGATGTGAGTAGCCGTATTGGGGCAGCGTGGCTGAGAAGGGCCTTAGGTAGAGCAGAGTCAGATGGGAGTCTGGTCCTCAGCCCCGAACTCTCTCTCGTTGCAGGGCCGCTCATGGATTACTTGCCCACCTGGCAGAAAATTTATTTCTACAGCTGGGGCTGACCCATCCCGGGCGGGGGTGCAGGGAGGGGCAGGGGGTGCCCCGGCCGTCGGGACCCCCAGGGCCCCTTCGCCCTAATAAAACTGACTCTGGCAGAGTCCCAGCACGTGGCCTCTCCATGCCCGCCGCCCAGGGCTTCTGGCACTTCCACCTGGCCCGCCGAGCACCCCCCGCCCCCCAGATATCCTCTCGACTCTTCACCCTCCGGCGATGGAGCCACGGCGGCCCGCACCTCGTCCCTGGGCCGAGAAGCCTCCCGTCGGGGCGGGGACCTGGGCTCCTCTGGCCACAGAAAGCTGGGGTCTAGCATCCTCGAGTGTGGGAAGCGGCTTGCCGTGGCAGCCGCAGAGGTGAACTCAGCTCCTGTCACCGGTCCCTGGTGACAACAGACAAGGTCCAACGGGGCAGGGGGAGACCGCTGCCCGTGTGGCCTCTGGCCAGAGCCTCTGTCTGCCCCTTCCCTGCAGGGCCCTGTCCTCCAGCCTGCCAGCCTGTCTGTGATGGAGGCTGGTGAATGGTGGGCCCGGCTTGGTGCAGTGACACCCCGAGCCCCCGTTTAACAGCCGGAGGTGTTCTCCCACAGCTGGTGCTGGGGGCGGGCGTCAGGGGCTGGGAGCCTGAGCCGGTGCAGGTTCAGGGGGTAGGAGCTGGGGGTCTCTGCACACTCCCCCTGCCAGCTCCCTGGTGGCCAAGTCTCCCGGAGCCGCGCACAGGCTACTGGGGAGGGTACAAGCGCCCAGACGGGGCGACTGAAGCCTGGCCTTTCTGCCTGGTCCGTCCCCTTCCTCAGCCTCCGCCCCTGTCCCCTTTGCCCTGTGAATAGACCGAACTCTCCTGCTGGAGTTTCTAGCCGGGTGAGCCGCCCTCAGAGTTTTGAGGGCTCCATCCGCACCACCTCTGTCCTGCCTCACTTTCTCTGACACCCTGGGGGGAGCCACGGGAGGAGGGGCCAGCCCTCCTCTGCTACCTGCCCCCCCCTCCAAGTGCCTCTGGGAAGGCATGCCCAGGTCCTGGGCCGGAAGGTGAAGGGACAAGCCTTCAGGTGGTCACAGCTTGGGGCCCCGACCTCTGTTGGGTACGGGGACCGTTGCTGGGCGCGTGCCCTGTCGGCGGGCTCTGGGCCGGGGGCTGTGCGTGCGGCGGGAGGAAAGCCGGCCTTGCTGTCGGGCGCTCACGCATCCGCAGACACACATAAATGCAGCGCGCTGGGGCGTGCGAGTAGGTAGGAGCGTGTGCCTGAGGGAGTCTGGGTCGGAGGGGGGTGAGTGGAGGTGCTCGCTGCCTGGACGGATGCCCGTGGAAGGTGCACCCCTCAGGGAGGCCTCGGTTCAAGCAGGGGAAACCCTGCGCCAGTGTGGGACCGGCTGGGAGAGCAGGTTGTGCAGTGAGTCACTGCTGGAGCAGGAGGGAGGGAGGAGCGGGCGGGAGGGGAAGGTCAGGGCCAAATCCAACAGGCCGCCGAAGGCCAGGCAAGAAACTCAGACCTGCCTCCGGAAGGCAGTGGGGAGGGGAGCATTTTAAACCTCATCCCGGGGCGCCTGGGTGGCTCAGTAGGTTAAGTGTCTGCCTTTGGCTCAGGTCGTGATCCCGGGGTCCTGGGATCAAGTCCTGCATCGGGCTCCTTGTTCAGTGGGGAACCTGCTTCTCCCTGTGCCCCTCACCCCACTCGTGTTCTTGCTCTCTCAAACAAAATATTTAAAAATGAAAAAATACACCGCACCCCAGCGGCCTGGTGCGGGGGGGCTCCCGGCAGCTGGTGCCGGAGGCTGAGCACGGGGACATGACGGCAGAAACCTCCAACAGTGGTTGGGGCCAGATTAAGGCCGTGGCCGGGGGATGACAGGGTATAGGTGGCACCCAGGCAGGCTAGGGACTGGGTGTGGATAGAGAGGGAGACAGTGGCCTCTCAGAGGCAAGGAGGGTGAGGGACAAGGGACTGAGTTGGGCAGTGTGTCCAGAACTCAGGGTTCCCGGCAGCAGTGAGGACGGAGGACGGGGACACGGGCTTGTGAGGGACAGTGGTGTCCAGGACACAGAAAGGGAGAGAACCACTGAGCGGTTAGTGTGTGGGCTCAGAGCACACGGGGACAGCCTGAGGAGATGCCAAAACCTGTCACCCTGGGGGTTACTGAGGACCAGGAGCCAGGGATGCCTCTCTCCGGGCCTTGGGCCCAGCGGCAGTCAGGGGCGCAGGGCTGGACCCCCAGTAGGTCTGCTCTTAGAAGCGATGGGGTTTCCAAAGCGCAGAGCCCTGCTCAGCCCTCAGGTCCTGACTCCACAGGTCTGGAGGCGGCCTGGGGTCTCGGGTTTAAAGCCTCGGGGCTTCTGAAGTGAGCTAGGCCCGTGCGCCAGATGGGGGGCTGCGCAGGAAGCAAAGAAAGGGCCCCACAGCTTTGCCTCAGCCTGAGAAGAGACCAGCTCCATGCTATCACGTGGCGTTTATTCATTCAACAAACATTTACTGAGCATCCACCAAGTGTGGCTGGGGATCCTGCAGTGAACAAACCAGTCTCTACCCTCGGGAAGCTTCCACTCCAGGGAGCAAGTTGTGGGCTTTGCCACCTCACTCAAAATCCGTCTGTCCAGCCTCAGGGGTGGTGGGGAGCCCCTGGGGAGCCCTGGGGCCAGGCTGTTGTAAGCTTTTGGGGAACTAGGGAGGAAGTCTCTCAGAGCAGGCCCCCCCTGCCCCCCCCCGCCGTTGGCATCTCTGAGCGGGTGGAGGATGTTCCTGGCATCACTGAGGGAAGGACAGGGTGGCGGCGGCAGGAGGTGGGGAGGAGGCAGAGTGGGGACAGTCGGGGCTCTCCACGTGACCTCTCCCGTGCGCCACCGCCTGGGCACAGAGGTACATACCTTACCCCACAGACGAGAAAACGGAGGCCCACAACGGTGACCTGTACGCCTCCCAAGAGGCAAGGTGGGGGTGTGAACCGAGATCAGATTCCAAAGGTCTGTGCCCTTAACCCTCGGGCAGGGACACTAGAGCAAGGTGCCGTTTGGCACCTGTTGGCCGACAGCGTCAAAAAACTGAACCGAACCTCAGCTGGAGGTTTCTGGCCCCGCCGCGGAGCCCTGGAATGTCCGGCCTTTGTGAGGTGGCCCTGGCGGGTGGCAGCGGTTCAGTCCTCCGGCCGGGGGAGGGGCAGGCAGAAGCTGGGGGACAAGGGCTGGAGTAGGAGATGGTTCTCGCCATGCTGGGGGCTCTGTATCCCAGGGCCGGGCTGAGCCTCTTCCTCCTCTACCTCGTCCTGGCTGCTGCCCTCCTCCGCCCCCAGCCGCTAAGGTAACTCCTGGGGGCACGGGGTCAGCGGTCCACCGGGCGGGGGGCCTGGAAGGCAGGGGGCCCTGCGTGCCGCTTCCCGCTCCCCGCCCTGCCCCGGACGACTGACTGCTGCCGCTACCCCGGGCGTCGGGGCTCACCCAGGCCCCCACCCTGAGCCTTCACAGGGAGGTAGGTAGCGGGCTGCAGGGCCAGGGCTGAGCACCCCAACATCTCCCACAGGCCTCAGCGATCTGTCCCTGAAGAACTTTCAGCCCCTCTGGAACTCTCGCAGCCACTTTCGGGCCTAGTGGATGGTAGTATCTCAGCCCTGCCCGCCCCCACTGCCCCCCAGTGTGGGACACATGCCTGGCGGGGGGGGCACCCATGTCCAGCCGCGGGGACTTTTCATCCCAAACAACACTGTTCTGGGGTGATGAGGGCGGATTCCCCTGCCACCCACACCCCCTTCTCTCCTTAGACTATGGGGTTCGACCCAAGCACCCCTGGCCGCGAGGGCCTCGACCCCTTCTCTCCCGGGCCCAGCAGCGCAAGCGGGACGGGCCGGACATGGCTGAGTATTACTACGATGCACCCCTGTGACGGGAGCCCCTTATAAAGCTATTCTGTGCAGCCAAGGCTTAGGCTTTCCTGACACGGACACCAGCTGGGGGCAGGGGGAGGGGACAGGGAGACACACCCACTGCAGTCCAGACAGGAAATGGCACTTTAATAGTAGGGGCCAGGGGGGATGGACCAAGCTGGGGCTACAGCCGAAGCAGCCAAGAGGCCCTGGCTGGCCCGGGCCCGTCCAGAAGCCTCCTTTTCCTGCCGGGCCGGGGGCCCTGCCGCAGCGCTCTTCTTCCCTGGTGAGGCCCCACACGTGCCGGGGGCCAGCGTGCCAGCCACCCAGAGCCCACACAAGTGACAGAGGAGAACAGGGACTGCACCCCCACCTGCTGTGAAGTCCTTGGGAGGTGGCTGGGCTCAGCCGGGCGCTGGGGATGGGGGGGCGGGTGGGCACTGGCAGGTGGCATCGGCTTGGAGAGAGAGCCAGAGGCCCTGGCAGGGGAAGCGACGCCCAGGACGGGGCCAAGCCCTCGGCTCCTACGACGGACATCCTTCCTGGCCAGAGGCCTGCCCCCCCAGCCCCGCTGCCTCCCAGGCCCCGGGCAGCCTGCTCTGTCCTCCATAGATGCATCTAGTCCCATATATTACAATAAACTGCATTTGCCTCTCCCCAGAAACCCCGCCCTCCCCCACCCTCGGCCAAAGGCCCCCACTTCCCCGTCCTCGGGTGGTGACGGGCGCCCCTCCTCAAGCAGCGCCGCATCCCGTCAGCAGCCAGGTGTCCCTGTGCGGCCTGCGGGCCCGGGGATGGAGAAGGCGGGGCGGCGCGGCTACTCCAGGTAGATGTCTTCCGTGGGGCACGTGTATTCCACGAACTGCTTGTAGAACTGCTGGAATGCTCTCCTAGGAAGCAGGCGGACACCCAGGTGACGGGAAGAACCCCATTTCCACCCGTGGTTTTTCACCTGGAGCCTCGGACTCCCGGGCAGGGCTTGGGCTCCCTGGGAGAGAGCTGCTCGCTCTGCTGTCCCCACGGGGTACTTCCTGCGTGACACTGCGATTGAAGGAGGGGCCCAACAGCCAACACGGTCGGGAGCTACGAGGCCACGAGGCGTGCAGAGCTGGGAGGGGGACTGGCGCGTGCTCTGGGGCTGGGTGCCCGGCAGGACACACACACACACACACACACACACACACACACACACACACACGAGCATACCCCACGGACTCTGCCAGGGCTTTGGTGGATTCCTCGGACACAAAGACGTGGCAGGCAAACCGGTGGTCAGCGGGGTGCTTGGTGATGAACCCAAAGTACCTGTGCGAGGAGAACCATCTGTCTGAGGGCGGCGCGGGGGCTCAACCCCCTCCAGACACACTCGCAGACTCGCACCTGACCGACACGGCCCCAGGCCGTCCCCTCACACATCACTCTCTGTCCCCTCCCACTTACTTATTGTTCTTCGGATGGTATCCACAGAAAGAGATGTTTTTTAACTGGAAAAAGTGGCTACATTTATTCCCCTGCAGGAGGGAAATGAGAGGCAGAGTGTCATCAGCCAGCAGGGGCCACAGGTGGGAGATCTGGAGGGGGGCGGGCGGCCGGGGCGGTCACCTTGGCCTCTTGGGAATCATCAGCCTTGACGCCGATCTTCACGCCCCGCACGCTGATCTCTAGGACGCAGCTGGATGGCGGGTTAAAGTGCACGGTGAGCCGGCGGGTGGTGGCAATCTGTGGGTGAGGGGCGGGCATCAGGCACTGGGCGCCCCTCTCCCCAGGAGAGGGCAGAGGTCCCGGGCCGGGGGGGCACGGGGAACAGGCACCTTTTGCATAGCAGCACAGAGCACGTCGTTGCCCTTGTGGTAGGGAACCTGGACGGAGCCCAGGAACTTCACCCGGAATTGGTCCACCCAGTCGCTGGTTTTGGTCAGGGCTGGAAAGCAAGCGGGAAGTGAGGGCTGGCTGAGCCGGCACAAGGGGCCACAGTCCCCGGGTGTCCCAGCTCGGCCGGGCCTCCCTTCTCTTGGTGGGAGACGCACCTAACGTCCCCCTTGCCAGGGCCCTCCCTGGGGCTTTGAAGTCACCTGGCAGCAAAGGGGGAATGTGGGGGGGCCCGGTGGTGCCGAGGAGGGGAAAGGACGCTACCTGCCATATGTTCCGGCTCCTTGGTGACCTCAATGGCGTAGTAGGCGGGGAAGACCCCCCGGGCGCCCGTGCGCATGTTGTAGGCCTCGTACCAGTAGTCCTCGGCCTGCAGCTCCACCAGCAGAGGGTCGTCCACCTCGAGCTCCAGCTCATCTTCATGTCGAGGCACAAACCTGCCCCCCGGACAAGGGCAAGGAAGGAATTCACCCGCAGGGCCTCCCCCACCTGGTCACCTGTCGGCTCCGCACCCAGCCCTGGGGGCACGCGGCCCCCAGAGCAGCACTGGTTCAATAAACCTCCGCAAAGTCTCCTGGGCCTGTGCTCATGCTAGTTCCCGGGGAAGAGCAAGATCACGCAGACGGGCACCTGTCGCCCAGGAACTTGGCTCAGGGAGGAGGTGCCCAGAGCCACTCGAGAACCACAGAGGTTAACAGGAAGTGAGCACTTCCCTGTGGAGGGCGGGCAGGGGTGTGCCTTGTGCATGGTTGGGCATCATCTCTGCCGGGCCCCCTCCCTGGGCTCCGGCCCCCCGCCAGATGTGGGGCTCCATCTCGGGCTCTGGCGGCACGGCCAAGGCCACACTGCCCTCAATTCCGCCAGGGTGGACCCTGGCCCCCTGGGGCTGAGCGGACGGATGGACACCAGCGTGAGTGCTGGGTCTAGGCCACGCAGGGACGGCAGAGGCCGGGACGGGTGGTGTTGAGGCCTGCGGCTCTTACCTGAATATGGCCCGGTGTGTCTGCTCCCGCTCCTCGCCGTTGATGACACAGGAGAAGAGCCCGAAGGACTCTGCACCTGCAAGCGAGGGGGCTGAGCTGGAGGAGAGCCCACCCACTCCGGCTGAGGTTTGGTGGGGGGACAGGTAGCAGGCTCTCAGTCCTGACACCTTTAAGCAGACGGGTAAGGCCACCTTCCAGGAACACCCTTGATTCGGCGCTGCCCCATCCCAGGCCCCCCACCGCGCCCGTGGCAGACTCACTGGAGGAGCGAGAGCGGCCGCTCATGAAGACATTCAGGAACTTCTTGGAGAAGTGGACGTCGGGCTCGTCCGGCGTGGAGTCCTCGGAGAGGCAGGCGGGGGGCCGCGGCCGGGGGGCCTCCTCGTACTCCTCCCCGATGGCCGACTCGTAGGGCGAGGAGACAGACGCGCAGTTGTCATAGACGGTGGCTGAGTCGCTCTCATCGCTGTAGTCTCCGAAGCACGGCCGCAGGCTCACCAGCTCCAGCTGTGCGTGCTCATCCACCACCAGCGTGTACTTGACCGAGTCGTAGGACAGGGCGCTGGTGTCCGAGCTCAGCGAGGCCCGTGGAGGCGGCGGCGGCTCCCCGAGGCTCCCCCGCCACCCTCCACCCGGCGGCTCGGCCCGCTCGGGGGACGACAAGCAGTCGAAGCCCTCGTCCTCCTCACTGATGGAGGGGTGCGGCCGGCCTGCCGCGGAGGGGTAGGCCGCAGGGTCTGGATCGGAGCTGACCGACATCCGGCTCTCGGCCGGCGGCAGGAAGGCAGACGTGGGCTCTGCAGGGTCCGGCGGCCTCTGCACTGGCGTCAGGTAGATCTCCTCGGTGGCCTCTAGCCGCACGTCCGCCTGGTAGTGGATGCGGTCTCGGTGCGCGTGGCCCCGGCTGCTTGGGGGGGCGGCGGGGGGGGCGCCGGGAGGGGCCATCTGCGGGGCGGTGCTTCGGCGGCAGGGGCTGTCAGTGGAGGTGCCTCGGTCCTTGGTGGTGGCGGGGCTGCTCGGGGGTGGCAGCTCATCGCTCAGGCAGATGTGCTCATGTGGAGGCGTCTGCTCCCCTGGAGGGCAGGCAGGTCAGCGCTCGAGGCAGGTGGCCTCGCCCTTGACTCCCAGGCCACCCGCGCCCTCCACTGAGCACGGGAAGGCTCCCGGGCGCTAGGCCACGGTGGGCTCTGGGGCCAGTGCTCTCACTCCCGTCCCAGCCGACTTCAGATGGGCCTGCTCAAGGCTGTGGGATGGGCGGTTTATCTCACCTCGGCAAGATGGAGCCTGCCGGGTTGCTCTCTGCAGGGGAAACTGAGTCAGGGCAGGGGGAGGGCCAGGTTAGGGAAAGGGTCCTGACTTACCGGTCTTCAGGGGTGAGGATGACCGAGACACCCGATCCTGCCAACTGTGCTTCTTGCCCAGAGAATTATTATTCAGTGTGTCCTGTACAGAAAACAAAAGGCCCTTGTGACAGAAGGCGTCAACAGTGCCCGGCACAGGGAGGCCCTGGCCCTGCCCCCATCAGGCCATCCCTCGGCCATTTGCTGCACCCCCCACCCCCAGACATACACACACACACTTGCCAAGGGCCTCACCCCCAACCCTCCTTGAACAGCCAGGAGAGGTGGCAAATCAGAGCCCTCCCAGCCAGACCTAATGGCTCTAGACGGCTCTCCCTCCTGGCTCAGGGAAGCTGGCCAACCCTTGGGGAGATGCTCTTATCAGCCTCAGCAAAGGTGGAGAAGACCAGTATGTGTGCTGGTGAGTGGAGGAGGAGAGGGGGAGAAGCATGAGCCGTGTGAGGACAGAGCCAGACCCCCAGTCCCAGACACGGGGGCTTTACGTGGTAGATGCTCACTTCCAGCCAAGTCCTGGGACTCAGGAAGCTATGGCCTAGGGAAGGGGCAGCGATATTCTAGGAGAAGCTGAAAAAAGGACGAGGAAGGGTCTCGCAGCAGCTGGCCTGGGGGGCCGGGATGAATCATCCAAATGATGAATCAATAGCATGGCTCCCCCACCCCTCTAGGAGCACATGACTGAGGAATGACAGATGTAGTCGTCAGCAGCCTTCCTTCCTGGATCTCCCAGGCCGCCCATCCCACATCGTTGGTGCCCTGGGACCCCTCTCCACCATGCCTACAAACAAGGCTCCCCACAAACGATTTAGGCACCCTCCCCTGGGAACACACTCATAGGCCCTCACATTCAGGAGTTTGGCTGCCAAAATCCACCCCAGAGGATTCTGGGAAAGGGACCAATCCTTTGCCTGTAGCCCCTGCACCCTCCACCAACAGCCCCACCTCCCTGAGTCCCTCTTCTGTACCTCTCCTGACTGGGCCTGGAAGACAAAGGGCCACAGCCGGCTCTCTCCCACCCTATTCAACCCTCCTTGGCATCCAGCCACCCAGCCCAGGGGCCCTGGGCCCCCAACTCAGCCAAGCAGCTCCGCCTCCCATGCCTCTTCCCTGCCTTCTGGGAATTCCCAGCTGCCCACATCTCGAACTGCCTGCCTGCCCACCTCTTCACAATTCCTCATGACCTTCCCCCAGCAACGACCACTGTAGATGCTCTTTTCTCCAGGCCTGCTTCTGCCCTTCACCAGGACCCCCACACCCTAAAGGGAAAACCTTGCCCCAGCCTGAGGTCCCAAGCTCCAAACCCTTGCGACTAGCCCTCAAAGGTCTGTTCTGCCCTTCTTAAGCCCCCACTGTTCTCCTTACCCAGATCCTTCCACTGTCCCTCTCGCTCCCTTCACTCCTTCCAACACTCCTCAAGGGTCCAAACCCTGTCGGCCCGATCTGGCCCCTCTCCCTCAAGGCAGATCCCACCTGCCCGCGGAGACCACCTCCCCTGGGCCCTCCCCCTTGGGAAGTCTCACCAGGCCGACTTCTCCCCGCGCCCGCCCGCGGCTCCCTCTCCCACAGCCCCTCCTCCCTCCTCTAGTCCGCGGGCCGGGGCTGGGCCGCGAGTTGCTCGGCGCCCCCCACGCCTCCGGCGCCCGCCCTCAGGGCGCCGCCCCTTCAGCCCCGCCCCACGCTGCCCGCGCCTCACCTGAGACCTCGGCACCTGCGGGAAGAGGTTGAGCGTGGTGGGCCGCTTGGGCCGATACGTGTCCCCGCCGCCCTGGTCCTGTCCCTGGCCGCGGGGCGCGGGCTCCTGGCGGGGCTCGGCCTCCGGCGGCCCCGCTCCCGGCCG